AAAAAAAAAAAAAAAAAAAAAAAAAAAAAAAAAAAAAAAAAAAAAAAAAAAAAAAAAAAAACGGTGGAAAAAAAAAACAAAACAAAAAAAACACAAACAAAAAACAAAAAACAAAAACAAAAAAAAAAAAAAACGAAAACACAAAACAACACGGAGCAGAAGCCTTCGGCCGCAGCCCCTGGCGACAAGGCGCGCGTTGGTGGAAGCCTCGGGCTGGTGCGCGGACGCACGGGAGGGGTGAAGGGGCCCAGGGGCACACAAATAAACACACACACACAAATCCCAGGATTCACCGTGTTTCCCTACGTGCTCTCGGTGTTCGTCTCCTTCCCCCCCCCCGCACTTCCCATACCTTCCCATACTTCCCTGGGGATCGACGAGATTCATTGTGTCTGTGTGCTTTATGTCCCCCTCCTGAGGAGGGAGGGGGCGCGGGCTGCCGCGACGGCGGTGCGAGCCTCCAGAGCGAGCGAAGCGAAGGAACGAACGCACGAACCTCGGAGGACGGACCTCAAGAGAAGCCTTCCACCACCAACCCAGCCCTGAGACCCCAGGACGTCCAGTGATTCTTGGTGTGGGAACGTCACGCCCTCCACAGCAAGACCATCGAGATCCAAGACACCCAGGGCGCAATGGAGGCAAGCAGGGTGCTTCTTGGCATGGCGCCCCACTTCAACTGAAAGCAGAGGGGGGAGGCCATGGCCTTCTGGAGCTGGAACCACATGAAAAGCACAAATACGAATCGGGAGCCCCCAGAACGCCATCGCCCGGGTGCAGCTGCCAGAAGGCATCTGGAAGCGATACGATGGTCACGACCTTCCGCCGTGGTTACGGGTCCTGAGGGAAGCGGGTCCTTCACCCTGGGGTCTGCGCAACGGACCAATTCATCCTGACTTGCTTTACGACGGTCCCGGTGCTGGTGGAAGTCCCCAGGAAGCCAAGAACGGAAAGGACAAAAAAAATACCGGAGAACAAACCCAGTCATAATCTGTTTAGGGCTATAGGGTTATGGGGCTATAGGGCTATAGGGCTATAGGGCTATAGGGCTATAGGGCTATAGGGCTATAAGGCTCTGGGGCTATAGGGCTATAGGGCTATTAGGGCTACAGGGCTATAGGGCTATAGGGCTATAGAGCAGTAAGGATATAAGGCTATGAGGCTATAGGGCTATAGGGCTATAGGGCTGCAGGGCTATTTCTACAGGGCTATAGGGCTGTAGGACTCTAGGGCTATAGGGCTATGGGGTTATACGGTTATAAGGCTATAGGGCTATAATAAAAGGCTATAAAACTAAAGGGCTACCGGGCACCCGGGCACCTGGGCACCCGGGCACCCAGGCACCCGGGCGTGCCGCCGAAATCGGCGCCACAGCTAACCTAACCATATGAATCCGCTAGGACCCCTACTGAGGCAAGCTCTGATTGGGGAATGAACCTGGCACGACCCCAATTAGTGGAAAGCTTCCTATTACATGGGTGCATTGCTTGGCATTGCTTGGCATTGCTTGGCATTGCATCGCATCGCTTGGCATTGCTTGGCATTGCTTGGCATTGTGTGGCATTGCTTCGAATTGTGTGGCATTGCTTGGCATTGCATGGCATTGCTTGGTATTGCTTGGCGTTGCTTGGCATTGCTTGGCATGGCTTGGTATTGCTTGGCATTGGTTCGCATCGCTTGGCATTGCTTCGCATTGCTTGGCATTGCTTGGCATGTCTTGGCATTGCTTGGCATTGCTTGGAACGGGCACAATAAGAATACGATGCACCAGGAGCGGGAACCCAGGGGAATACGGGGAACCCGAGGAACCCAGGGAACCCGCGAACCCGGGGAACCCGAGGAACCCGAGGAACCTCCTGGCAACAGGCAACGTAAGAATACAAGGCACCAACCTTTGACCAAGTAAGA